TTTTCTCTTACTTTTAAAATGAATTCTTACCTTGTTGAGCGATACTCCCAGCGAAAGAAAAAAGGTAGTTGGTAACAGTTAGTTGCGGGGTCGGTTGTGATACAAACACGAGGCCGATACTCATCAAGAACCACATGGCGAGCACAGTCAACCATACACTCCTGGTGGAAATAGGGTGGGGAGGGTGAATGCGTGTATATAGATGTGTGTGTGTGTGTGTGTGTCACAGTGTGTGGGGTGGGAAGAGGAAGAGAGAGAGAGTGTGTGTGTGTGTGTGTATGAATGTGTGTGTGTGTGTGTGAGGGAAGAGAGAGAGAGTGAGAAGTAAGAGAGAGAGGGAAAGAGTGTGTGTGTGTGTGCGTGAGTGTGTGTGTGTCACAATCTGTGGGGTGGGAGGAGGAAGAGAGTGTGTGTGTGCGTGAGTGTGTGTGTGTGTGTGTGTGTGTGTGTGCGTGAGTGTGTGTGTGTGTGTGTGGAGTGTGTGTGTGTGTGTGTGTGTCACAATGTGTGGGGTGGAAGGAAGAAGAGAGTGTGTGTGTGGGGGGGGGGAGGGAGGGGAAAGGAAGAGAGAGAGGGAAAGAGTGTGTGTGTGTGTGTGCGCGTGTCTGTGCATACACATTAAAAGATAAAAATATATTAATAGAAATAATGACAAAAATAGCAACGGCAGCCATGACGGCGTTGACCATAATGATGATAATGATCATCATCATAATAATTATAATCTCATTAACATTGTTGTTGTTGTTGCCATTGTTCCGATCTGAAGTAAACAAGAAAAAGTAACAAATAAATACAAGTAAACACCTAAATAGAATAACTGACTAGATAAACAGACCAATAGATAAATAGAAAAGTTAGATAGATGGATAGATAAATGAATAAATGAATACACAAATAAATCAATAAACAAATAAATAGATATATAGTTGAATAGATAAATAAATAGAAAGATATAAATATATAAATAAATAAATATAGAGAAAGAGATAAATAGATAAATAGTAGATAAATAGAAAGATAGATGAATAGATAAACAAGTAAATAAATAGCTGATTAGATATATTAACAAAAAGCTAATTAAATAAATATAAATAAATATATGAATAACAAATAGACCAGATAGATAAATAAATGAATAAATAAATAAAAAAGCTTGCTAAATAGATAAGTAAATAAATAGACAACCTAGATAGATAAATCAACAGACAAAGAAACAAACAGAAAGCAAAAACAAACAAGCAAAAAACTAAAGCAAACAAAAAGTAAAAACAAACAAAATGCACAAAACAAATAAAAACAAACAAATGAGCAAACACAAACGAAAAAGCAAAAACAAACAAAAAAACAAAAACAAACAACAATCAAACAAACAAAAACTAACAAACAAACAAAAAAAACAAGCAAAAACAACCCCCCTCCCCCCCTCAAAAAAAAAAAAAAAAAAAAAAAAAGCAGCTCACCAGTGAAAGTTGAGATAGTACGTCCCCCACTCGACCCCCCTCCGGCTCTCCCCCCCGAGGACGAGACTCCGCACCGAAGAGAAATCGACGGCCGGAGAGAAGTCGATCGCGGACGAGCGGCGAAGCGTGATGCTCAGGGGGGCGAGGGCGACGTCGGCTCTCTGGGGGGGGGGGAAGAAGAAGGAGGTGGGGGTGGGGGGAGGGGGGTTGAAAAGGGGGGAGGGGGAGGCGGAGGGGAGAGGGAGGAAGGAGGTGGGGAGGAAGAGGGGATGAGGAGGATGGAGGTGGGGATGGGTGGGTGTGGGGAGGAAGGGAAAGGGGTGGGTGGGGGTGAGGAGGAAGGGTGAGGAAGGGGGTGGGTGTGGGTGAGTGTGAGGAGGAAGGGGAAGAGGTGGGTGGGTGGGTGTGAGGAGGAAGGGGTGGAGGTGAGGAAGGGGGGTGGGGTAGGGAAGGTGGAGGAGGGGTGGGTGAGGGGAAAGGTAAGGAGGAAGGGGGTGGGTGTGGGTGAGTGTGAGGAGGAAGGGAAAGAGGTGGGTGGGGAGGGTGAGGGGGAAGAGGTGGGGGTGGGGAGGGTGAGGAGGAAGGGATGGAGGTGAGGAAGAAGGGGGTGGGGGAAGGTAGGAAGGTAAGGTTGGAGGAAAGGGAGGGGGTGAGGAAGAAAGGGTGGGTGAGGATGGGAAGAATAAGGAGGAAGGGGAAAGGGGAAGGAGAAGGAGAAGGATGGAAAAGGGTGGGAGGAAGGAGGGAAGAAGGCGAAGGAGAGAGAAGGAAAGGGGTGGGTGGAGGGAGGAAAAGGGAAAAAGGGAAGGGATGGGAAGGAGGAAAAGGGATGGGACAAGAAGGAAAGAAGGAAAAGAGTGAGAAGGAGGGTAAGGAGAAAGAATGATGATAGATGAAGAGGAGGAGAAGAAAGAGGAGAGATGAGAAGGAGGAAGAGGCAGCAAATGAGAAAAAGAAGAGGTGAAAAAAGAGAGAAGAGAAGGAAGAAGGATTCGAAGATGGAAGAAGAGAAGAAGAAAAAAGAAAGAAGAATTGGGAAACGGAGGAGGAACGAGGGATGAGGAAAGGGGTAAAGGAAGAGGAGGAAAATATAAAGAAGAAAATTAGAACCAGGAAAAAAAACAAAAAGGAAAACAGGATTTAAGAGCCTCTTGTCCTGCTTCCTCTTCGTATCAAAAAGTGATCTTTCAATTACAATCATGGCTCGAAAATGTCTTTCTGAAGCGAAATTAGTGAAAGAAAATACTATTTCAGTATTTTATTCATAGAGTCTTTGGCCTTCTGAGAATCTATACGTGGCTGTGGGGAAAGAAAGCAAGGGGGAAAGAAAGAAAGAGACAAAAGGAGAAATAAAAGGGAGAAAGAGAGAGAGAAAGAGACAAAGGGAGAAATAGAGAAAGGGAGAAAGAGAAAATAAGAAAATATACACAGGGGGGGGAGGGTTAATCATATACTACCTGGTTAAAAATTGAATTGACGAATAATGCATTTGATTTTTTTTTTTCATTACTATCTTTATATCACATTTCATATCATATCTTATCTATCATTATTATTTTGTTTTACCTTAATTTTCTCTTTCTTTCTTTTTTTTTTTTTGTTCTTTATAATAAGTATCTTTATTCTGTTCTGTTCTGTTCTATATTCACTACTTTTTTCTAATCTTTTTCGTCCATTTTTAGTCTTTCATTCCCTTTCCCCTGTTTTTAGTTGTTGTTTTTTCATTTCCCGTACGCCAATAAACATCTTTTCTTCCCTTTTCTCTTTCTCTTATTTATATTTGTGTCTTTTTATTATCCCATTCATTAGCTTTTACCTTTTTTTCTTTGTTTTCTTTATTTCTTTATTTCATTCACTTTCCCTGCTTATTCCTCCTTTGTTTTCATCCCTTTCCATTTCCTTCCTTTATTGCTTTTCCCTCTTTTCCCCCCTTTCCTCCTATTACTTCTTTCTATTTTCTTTCCTTCAATTTCCCTCGTTTTCTTTCCTCCCTGCCTATTCCTCTCTTCCTTCCTATCCTATCCTCCCTTCTTATCTTCCTTTTCGTCTTTCTCCACATTCCTGCATTCCTTCACTCTCTATTCCTTACTTCCTTTTTTCTTACACCTCCCTCTCTTTTCCCCTGTTCCTTTCCCCTTCTTCCCTATCTCTTCCCCATCCTTATACCCCCCCCCCTCCTTCCTCATCTTCTTATCCTCCCTATACATATCTTTCTTTCCCCCTTCTCCCTATCCTTATCTCTCTCTTCTTCCCCATTATTCACTATTCTTCCCCGTCTCCTCTCCCTTTCCCCTCTTCCTCCCCAATCCCTCTCTATCTACCTCCTTCCCCATTCCTATCCCTCTCTCCCTCTCTTCCTTCCCATCCTTCCCCGATCTTTCCCTCCCTACCTCCTTCCCCCATCCCTATCCCTCTCTTCCTCCCTCCCCCTACCCCACCCCTCATCCTCCCATCCCTCCCTGCCATCCTCCCCTATCCCTCCCCCTCCCTCTCCTGCCCTCCCCCTTTCTCCCTACCTACCTCTATCCCCCATCCCTCCCTCTTTACCCATCCCATCTTGCGCTATCCCTCCCCTATCCTTCCCTTATCCCTCCCCTCCCTGCCCATCCCTCCATTCCATCCTCCCCTATCGCTCCCCTATCCCTCCCATCCCTCTTTCCCCATCCCTCCCTCCCTCCCCTATCCCTCCCTCCCTTCCCCCTCCCTCCCTCCCCATCCCTCTTTCCCCATCCCTCCCTACCCTATCCCTCCCCTCCCCTATCCTTCCCTCCCTCCCCATCCCTCTTTCCCCATCTCTCCCTACCCTATCCCTCCATCCCACCCTCCCCTATCCCTCCCCTATCTCTCCCATCCCTCTTTCCCCATCCCTACCTACCCCCTCCCTCCCTCCCTCCCATCCCCCTCCCTCCCATCCCCCTCCCTCCCTCCCCATCCCTCCCTACCCCCTACCCCCCTCCCCTATCCCTCCCTCCCCTATCCCTCCCTCCCTCCCCCTCCCTCTTTCCCCATCCCTCCCTCCCCTCCCCCTCTTTCCCCACCACCCCTCCCCATCCGCGACTAAGCTTACCTGCCTCACCAAATCCCTCCCTCCCATCCCCCTCCCTCCCTCCC